GATGTGAACTTTTCACCTCGGATCTCAGTGAGCGCGCGCGCGGTGCAGCAGCTTCCGGATATATCGTGACGTCACGCGGCAGCAGGAGGTGACATGACGTCACTTGCGGGGTTCACCACACAATCCCCTCCCCCAACAAGCAGCGGTGTAATTGAATAAATTATGTTAATGAGACGGGCCCACGTGGGTGATTGGGCTTGGCTGCTGAACCCGTCGCAATGAAATAGCGACGGTTTTCATGAATAAATTATGTTAATGAACCGCCAGTCAAAAGCGCTGTGGAGGGGGGGGGATTGAATATCTTGGTGACATGACGTCACTAGCGGGGAAAAACTTTCCCTGGCGTCTCACGCCGACGAGTTAATGAGCGGTGACGTCACTGTGTGTGTGTGTACACACTGTGTGTGTGTACAAACTGTGTGTGTGTACCCTGTGCGTGTGTACCCTGTGCGTGTACACTGTGTGTGTACAAACTGTGTGTGTGTACACTGTGTGTGTACAAACTGTGTGTGTGTACACTGTGTGTGTGTACACAAACTGTGTGTGTACACTGTGTGTGTGTACCCTGTGCGTGTACACTGTGTGTGTGTACACTGTGTGTGTGTACCCTGTGCGTGTACACTGTGTGTGTACAAACTGTGTGCGTGTGTGTACACTGTGTGTTGGCACAGTCGGGGGTACAGATGGTGCATCGGCCAGTCAACTGAGTCAGTCGACCCATGGCACCTGGGTCTACCCCGTGCACATAGCCTGGCACAAGCGCCATGGTGACGTGACCGCCACTTAGTGGCGAATGGCGGTTGTTGTTATTGTTACTGTGTGTCCGGCAAAACAAGAGATGGCACCTCAGCCAGCCATCTCATTGAGTAGCCATTACCAGATCATCAGCAGATGCAACAGGGCTGACCAGCAGGGAAACAGGTCCCTGCGGGGTGGGCTGGTAGGAACGAACAAATGAATGGCTATAATAAAATGAAATGGCGGGGGTACGATACGAAGGGAGAGTTTGAGGCCTAGTTCTAGGCTTTAGGCCTAGCTGTAGGCTTTAGGCCGCTGTGAGTTAATTTTAAACTATCTCAGGTAATTATAAGGGAATGTTACACTTGTTTAGCCAGGAAAGCCTCACTGAGTCTAAAGGTTTTTGTAGGGTCCTGCCAAGTGTTTGCAGTAGGGGGCGATGTTGCTACACGTAATCGGACGGAGGGACGATATAATCAATTGTAGGCTGGTTCACTTCGTTCCTACCAGTATAATCCCTTAACTATAACCAGTCATCGATAAGCATATTATTTTTAACCGCGACGAATGCAATTTATTTATACGGCCATTGTGAGCTCCTCAAACTACATAATTATTGAACATGCTATGTAATGTGTAATAAACCCCGTTGAGACGTCGTCAATTGAGAATTCTTTATTCAGTTTCGGTCACAGCTTCCACCACATTCGTTCCTCCAGTTCCCTTGCTCCTTCACGCTGTTGGCTGACAGCGTGAGAGAGAGACTGCGGCGGCCCACCACGTGGCAGGCTCCGGACCACGGCACCAGCCACGTGGCTTCTCCGCTCCTTTAAATCCCTGGCCCACGTGATGCCCCGCAGCCAATCCTCAGCCACACCCCTGGAACTTTCCCGAAGCTAATGTACGGCTCCAGGGCCACGCCCCTAACTCGACTCCCCATTGGTTGCGGGCTGAGGCCGGCAGAGCCCATCATTATTATCCAGGTGTAACCTCACATTACAAATGTAATGCATTGGGCCAGAGTGAATTTCTGTCACAAGCCGAGTTGAACAGGAAATGGTTCCAACTCCTGGTCACGCAGCTTTAGATGGGCCTGCCCAAAATCATAAAAATCCTCAACGAATGTGAGCAGAGGCAGAGACATCGAAATCAAGGAACCCAAAGCACCAAGCCTATTTAGGGTACCATAGGCCTGCTGTACTCGATCGACAGAAAATACAGCCGCCCCTTGAATATCGTAGGTTACGTTCTTGGAAAATGCCACGCGACAGCTAAAAACGCGATATTCAATACTTAACCTTACCCAAGTAATGGCGTTAGGTAAACGTCAACTAAAATTTACATCACAATTGAAATACGTACTGTATTCCAAATCAACTAAAAATTAAACTATTGAAATAAACATTGGGAAACCGTGTCTCATGCTTTTGGTTACAGGCCTACCCAACACTTATGGTCACACATGCTGTCTGCTTCTACTCGACCTTGTCCGAAAAGTCCTCCCAAAACTCCACATCCACAAATGGATGTGATTTGTCTCGGGCTCCATTAGTGACCTGGAAGTCAAACCCTAGAGCCTTCACAGGTCACCTTCACGAATGGTGACGTTTCCCAGCTGCCCTCTTTATTGGGTCCTTGCATCACAAACGATCGGCTTATGGAACTTCAAATTTCACACGTCAATCTCAGACTCTGCTCCTTGAGACCTCCTTACACGTGTTTCAGTTTCAAGACAATTCAAAAGGCCTTCCAATTGTACATTAAGTGGTTTTTAATGTGTGTTCCCTGGCAGTTGTGAAGATTTGATTACTGTGTAAATGCATTCCAAGACAGTGCAGTCGTTAGATTCCGTGGAGACGAGTTCTGCTCTTGGTGACATCACAAGCCAGAGAGAGGGGGAGGCCCTGACGTAACCCACTCGTTAATTTGAGGTGACGTCTTCAGAGGGAGCGTCTACATATTTAGGTAAACATGTGGTAAACAAGGTGGGATATCAATGCAGACAGATATATCTAAAGTTTTATTTAAATAGAAGTTAAAATTCAATAAAACCTAGGCTAGAATACAAATCTGTAACAAAAATCCACGATGCCTTCAAATGTGCTCTTTAAAGTACCTCCTTGCGAAAAAACAGATCGGCAGACATCTTTCATTCAACGTTCTCTACACGAAACAAAGGAATGTTTTACACAAACTATAAATACCACGGCCTTTTAGGAATGCATGTGTAATGGGTTCCGGAGACACTTGTAGAGGTATCTTCTTTATTACAATAAAACACTCCAACAGTCCTGATACTCTGTTACAGCCTAGGTACACAGCCTAGATACACTACTCTGGCTACGCTCTGGGGTCCTCCGGCTGCAATTACCCTAGGGGAGGCTAATTGACCCGACCCAGCCAAGGTGCGGGTCTGGACTCTGGCTTCCTCGGAACTCGCCCTTACAAGGACGTAGAGCCGGGAGTCCCAGAGTCCCACCACTGGCCCTCACAGCGTCCCGGCCCTTACAAGGACAAGCGGGACGAGGGGGTCCAGGGTCCTAAGCTGGCTGATCTTGGGTCTTGAGCTGCAACTGGCCCCGATCGGCCAGGGAGCTGCCCTTTTATGCCTCGTCCCCAACGAGGGGTGGGGTTGTGTGCGCCCCAGATATCCCACAGAGCACGCACAGCCCCCCCGTTGGTGGCGCCAAGGGGCTTAACTGTTTGGGGTGCCTGGGATCCTAGCGCCTGGTGCCGAGGGCTTATCTGCCTAGGATCCTAGAGCCCCCAGCAGCCCCTCCCTCTTATGGCACTACACATGTGTTCAGTACAAGCCACCTGTGGACTGGTTTGGTGTACAATGTCTCAACAGTCCGGCTTGCTTCAACTGATGTTCATCGGCAAGGTCCATTTCAAGTCTCAGTTCGACAAAATGTATACGTAATACAAAATGATAATTAGTGTTCTTGTGGAGAATGTATCTCCTATACGTAACTTATAAGTGGCATACCTTAACTGTTGAATGATCCGACTATGCTCCCGATTTCAAAGACAATGAGTTGCCCCAGTCAGATGCGTCCTGATTCACAAAAATACCCGTTGACCCGTATCACAAAAATAACAGCTCTCACGTGAGTTTTTGTACAGGTTACCACCAAAACAGATACTTTGTCCTGACATCACATATTCCATGTTTGACATTAATACACAAAATGTTGTATGTACGTACAAAATCAGACAGGTATTCTTTCAATAATGATTCAAAATAATCAAAGGGCACATTGGCAACATTTTATTACTATACTGAAATGTACTGCGTCACGTTGCAACGTATTTACAAGTTGATCTCTGACGCGATGAGGCCTATATGTGCAGCACTCTCGTAGAGGGAAGCCAAGTAGTAGTACATTCTATATTTGTTGCAGAGGTTCAAGGTTCAAATCCGACTGGCATATCAATCATCGCCCCCGACTTACAAACTCCTATCCACATGCAGGCCAGTGAACGGTCACCTTGTGGCACACAGGGGCAGATGCCCATTATGGGCACCCATCGAGTGTCTAAGATGAGATATGATACAAAACACTTGAGTCACTCCTGGTTAGAGATCGCCCCAACCCACAGGTTCACAAATACTGGCCACGCTTACACTGCAGTTTGAACCTAGAAATTGAGTGTTCAACTTCACATTATATTCATTAGAAAGGCCTGTGACAAAGGTGCATCCATTGGAGCTTAATTGTCTGAAGCTTGCACATCTACCTGGTCTCCATTTGACTTTGTATTGTCTAAGAAGTCCACCCACACCTCCACATCCACAAACTCCTGGGAGTTGCCTCGCTCTGCCTCACAGTCAGAATTTAGTTCCTGCTTCACACTGCCTCCATCTATGTGAAGGTCCGATTTTGGAGTTGAATCTTCAAATTTAACCTTCACTTCTACGCTCTTCAATGTTACTTCTTCACATTTCACTTTCGCCTCTTCATATTTCACCTTGATACCTTTCAAAGTGTCCAGGCTGGATTGTCTTCTGGTTCTTGTTTCATGAACAATGGGGTCATTGCAGCACTTTGACTTTCACAAGCTGATTTCAGATTACACTTCTTGTGGATTTTCTGATGCGTGTGTGTTCTCTGGTGTTTTTTAAGATTTGATGAATGTGCAAACGCTTTCCCACAAACACTGCACTTGAAGAGTTTCTCTCCTGTGTGTGTTGTCTGATGTCTTCTAAGATAGATGAATCTGAAAATGCCTTCTCACACACACTGCACTTGAAGGGTTTATCTCCTGTGTGTATTCTCTGGTGGGACTGAAGATTTGATGACTTTGCATACGCCTTCTCACACACAATGCACTTAAAAGGTTTCTCTCCTGTGTGTGTTCTCTGGTGTTGTTTAAGAGCAGATGAATCTAAAATGCCTTCCACACACACTGCACTTGAAGGGTTTATCTCCTGTGTGTTCTCTGGTGGGTCTGAAGAATGATGACAATGAAAATGCCTTCTCACACACAGTGCACTTGAAGGTTTCTCTCCTGTGTGTGTTCTCTGGTGTGATTTAAGAATGAACGACCATGCAAACGCCTTCTCACACACAGTGCACTTGAAAGGTTTATATCCTGTGTGTGTTCTCT